TATCTATTTTTATTCTTATTGAAACATTATATATATTACATGAATCCTATCTACCTAAAAAACAATTATTATGATAATACCCAACTTAAGTCGCATTCAAGTATTCAATGCGTTTGAGAAGCAAATGGATAGCAACCCGGAAAAGTTTATTTGTTGAAGTCACTTCATGATGATGAAAAAAGAGATTTTATTCTCTTTATTCTTAAGGAGTAGTTTCTAGTTGGATGACAAGGTGGTGTATCTGGGATGGAGCTTAGAAGTACTTAGAAGAATATATTGCGGGCAACAATTGAAAGAGTTGTTTTATATCTCCTAGCGCAACTCAAGACATTGTCTCTTTTAGTTATTATGTACTTTTGTCAATCAAAGCAGTAGGGAACTTGATCTCTTTTTAACTGTTGGTTTTGGGTGACATCTGTTTGCTTCATTTTGCTGCAATATCGAAATTTGGTTTTATGAGTTACTGGATAAGAATTTTGCTTCTTGTGTTTCATTGGATATCTATGCGGTTAGTTTAATATATTAGCATTAAGTACATTTGTCTTTATAATTAATTGAGCGTTATTTCCTCCTAAGTGTTGAACTATGTCACTTACAAGATTTGTTTATGATTTATATCTTGGTCTGTTCTGACATGTTTATACTTATTTGCTTGTGATGCAGATAATGTTGGGGTTATTGTGAACCTAAAGAGGGAAATGAAAGGTATATGTCTACATCCTTTTCCCATGGATTATCTTTTTTTAACCATCTCAGCATCAGGCTCTATTTTGTACATGCATTGTTGTTTGTAGTGAAAACTGTAATGCATAAATTTGTTTTTGCTTCTTTATCTCTATTTTGTACATGCATTGTTGTTTGTAGTGAAAACTGTAATGCATAAATTTGTTTTTGCTTCTTTATCTAATATATATCAATCGTAGTGAAAACTGTAATGCATAAATTTGTTTTTGCTTCTTTATCTAATATATATCAATCGATGTTTTCTGATTCTTCAGGATCTGCAATTACTGGACCAATTGGAAAGGAGTGTGTTGATTTGTGGCCTAGGATTGCTAGTGCAACCAATGCCATTGTGTAATATCCAGATTTTTCTTCAGGTGTCAGTGAGGAGGAGTAGTTTCATGTTATTTGTTATTGAAAAGAAAAGGGAGTTTTTTAAATATGGATCCATATTTGTATTGGATGTTTTTGTTTTCTTGTGACGTACATATATTGGAATTGATATTCTGGGATCCAACTGATGGTAGCATTGTTTTCTTTTTGTTATGAAATTAAATGGTGATGATTTGAAGATAATAATGGTGATGGTTTGAAGATAATAATGATTCATATATTGGATATCATTGTTGAAAATTTATTAATAAATAAGGTACTGGAAAATTTAAAGATATTTTGTCAAACTTCTTAGGGGGCTTTGTGAAAATTATCCTAACTTTTACCTCAACATAAACCTTAATGTCCGCATAAAGATTGGGGAGTTAAGAGAAAGCATAAATTTTCTTAAAACACTAATTCTGAAATCCAAGTTCATGTATAATAAAGTGTATCCAAACACTATATTTCAAACCTTTGATTTCAAATCCTTGCATTTTGTAAAGACACCCAAACAAAAGATTCTATTAAATCATGGATTTTAAATCCTAGATTTAAAATCCCTTGATTTTAAATTAACATTCCAAATCCAAATCTTAGTTCCCAAACGCAACATAAATGAAAAATACTACAGCTCCAAACCTCAAACCATGATGAATCAATGTCACAATCTCGGACTACCCTTGGTAGTTGACGCAATCATACGGAAAATATCATCCAACATAAACACCTCAACCATGATGAATTAATGTCACAATCTCGAACTACCCTCGGGTAGTTGGCGTAGTCATATGGAAAATATCATCCAACATAAACATCTCCATAGATCATGCCACGTATACTAAGTATCCATAAATATACCCTACTCTCGAGTAATCTAACATGGGATCAACACTACAACTGTGTGTGTGTGTGTGTGTGTGTGTGTGTGTGTATATACACACACATGAAATAACGATACTCTTGTAAGGTACTCACAATATCATGTGGAAACAACATCCTTACTCAATCGTTCTGCGAAGATACGTAAATCACCCTATTCCGGAATGATGCATCCAGATGATCGTACAATGGAGTTTAGGCATATTAGCCCAATCCGGAAACCCCAATCATCTTCGAGTATAGTTCATCCCCGGTCTTAATGCGGGAAAACTTACAACTCTAAGTGTAGTTCAGTCGCGGTCTCATTGCGGGAAAACATGACTAATCACTAAGCATCCACAACTGATAAATTATGCATTTTATGTGTTATACCAACACTATCAACTTAATCTAATCACTAAGCATCCACAACTGATAAATTATGCATTTTATGTGTTATACCAACACTATCAACTTAATCATGTGTCATGCATCTCAACTATTCATGTAAACTCAATAAGAACATGTATTCAAGTGTTCGTGCATGTATCTTGATGTGTGGATCTATATCTCATGTTCACAAACACCTCAGGTGTTACACAGACAACAAACAACATAATACAATGTGGGTTGATCGAGAAAATCCCTCGAATCAAACAAATACAACTCAAAACATGCACAAGTGGATATCTGCTAGTTGGTCGACCGACCACTATGCCACGGTCAACTGGCCAAAGGCCAGGTGCCTGGTTCTGCAGGCTGTGTTCATGTGTCGGGTTCGTGATTCTAACTTGTTTAACTTACTATAAAACATGTAAAATACATTTTAAATACTTGTATACCATTACTTAAGTTAATCTAACACATGAAACAAGAATTATTACATGAGATATCATATACAACCCCTAAACATGTACAAAAACATCAAAACATTGAGAGAATCATCAAAACTTATTTAAAACTCATGTTTAATTATTTTCAGATCTTAATTTACCTTAGATAATTCGTTCATAATCTTTTAAACACGAAAAGATCAGATCTTTATCTCATATATAATAAAAGACTATTTTTATGCACGAAAATAGGTTTTAGGCTTAACAAAACCACATTAAAAACTCATAAAAACCTATTTGAAAAGGGGTGTAGGGTTAGCAGAGATAAAACTCGCCTGAAAACCTCTTTTGAAAGCCTGAAAGTGCAAAACAACTCAAATTCCCTAGCCACACATCAACAATCTCGCCTTCACATCGGTATTTGCTTCACAAAGCACTTGAAATCACAGAACTTAAATCTAGGGTTTATGAGGGAGATGGTTGCTACTAGGGTTTAGAAGTTCAGATGAAAATATGTGAAAATTCGTGAGCAAGAGGTACATATAACATACAAGTAGACCTGGGCCTCAAAATATCTGAATCCAACTCAAATCAGGATTCTGGAAAAATGCTTGTTTGTTGACCGAGCATGGGCCGTCGGTCGACCGGCCAGTGTATTCCCTAGATGGTGCATGTTTTGGCCTCTGTGCATGTTTTGACTCATTTCTCTCACATATATGAACTTGTTTGATCTCAAATAACTTGCTACCATATTCATACATCATTTAATGATAGGACAAATTTTCAAAAGCAACCGTTTTACACATTTAATTGCAAAAACCGACCCTTTTCAAAATAATTGCAAAAACCGACCTGTTTTCAGCCCAGCGCTGAAAACAGGTCGGTTTTTGTAAAAAAATCTCCGAAACATCACGGGAGTTCAACTCCCGTGAAGTTTATGCAGAAATTAAACTTCACGGGAGTTCAACTCCCGTGAAGCTTAATTTCTGCTTAAAACTCCACGGGAGTTGAACTCCCGTGGAGTTACAGTCAGCAATTCCAGAGAATCGAGTCTCTGGCAAATTGTGACTGTAACTTCACGGGATTTCAACTCCCGTGAAGTTGCAGTCCACAAATTGCCACAGATCGAGTCTCTGGAAAATTTGCACTGCAACTTCACGGGACTTGAAATCCCGTGAAGTTGCAGGTCACCCAGCATGCACAGCTGCTGTGCAGGTTTTGTATATTTACCTGTAACTCATATATATGTCAATTTATTTGCAAACAACAATATATACATGATTCAACAATGAATTATAACTCATATATATGCCAATTTATTTGCAAACAACAATATATACATGATTCAACCATGAATTAAACACACACGAATATGTATATGAACAACAATTTATCTTCAAAAGTTTAGTATTTGAAAATTCAGGAAAGTTACAAAATTTATCAAAATAAGTTCATATACAACCCAATATAGCTCCCCTCCTTCCTCTCCCTCTCTTCCCCCTCCCCCTCGCTCTTCCCTGCCCCCTGGGTTCCTGCTTTTTATTAATTGCAATAAAAAATAACAAATTAAGAGTAATCATCCTCTCCAAATGGAATTTTTACAAAACTTTTCACACTCTAACCCCTCACTCTCTACCCGTATTTATAGCCTACAATAATGAATAAGAACCCTTGGATGAAACTTGGAGAACAAGAATTAAAATCTAGTCACAAATCTGATTCTGCAGACCACCAATCGGTTGGCTTGCAACAGATTTTTATTTTTGTTGATTTCTTGACCCAATTTCTTCATAGATCCTTGAGATTTCTTGGGTTTTCTTTTGTCTTCATATTTGGGCTTTAATAAAAGGCAGAAAATCAGGAGGTTTGTGTCTTTTGGGCTTTTATTCATTAATTCTTCATCAATCTGCAAATTAAAATAAAACATATTATTAATGGTATATTTATTGATATAAACCAGATAATGATGATGTAAAATTGTAATAAAAATGTGATTATTATAGAGCTCCGGTTACAAGTTGAAAGTGCAAACAACAAAAGAATCAAACCATAATTGTTGAAAGTCCCAAATCATATTTGTTCTTTTATTAGAAAGAGTACATTTTCAATAATGTCGGAGACATAATCGCATTTTCAATTATTTGAGAATCTAATCAATGATACGGGGATAAGTTTCAAAATATGAAAGATTCGAGGGGCCCGTACGAAACAGCTGTAGCGTGAAATGCAAATACGACAAAATTTTAGATCCATTACTTCCCTAGGCCGGCCCAAGACTGGAAGCGGACGAGGGTTTCCGGTGTCCTCCAGCTCTAGAAGAGGAGACCGTATCCGACATCAAATTTGCAACGAGCGCCGTTGAAATCGACGCCGAGCAAGGTCAGATTCTTCCCGCTTTCGTTTTCAACTGCAAATCATAGTCTAATAAATTCGTTATATGCTCGATTGAGTTCAATTTCATGAAGCTTAGCCGTACAATTACGGGATTTGAACTGATAATTCTTCAATTATTGTACATAATTTGAGAAATATCCTTTCGTCTGTTGAAAAGATTGCGTGCTTAATTCAATTTATCTAATTTTGATGAAGGTAGAGTCCTTTGAATTAATCTGTAATTTGCTAGAATTGCTTGATTTCTTTAGACTTTTTTTTTTCTGATTTTTCTGGATTAAAGAAAGATTCCGAAAATGGATATCAACAAATTCAGAATTGGAGTCGAATTTTATGACGGATGTACCGGTGCTTATTTTAACATTGTAGTAATAATTGAGCTAGTGAAAAGACGTTGTAAGATTTTGGAAGCTTTTCAGTAGTATCAATGACTATGCCTACTAACACTACGCATATATCAAGACCCCAATCACTTATTTTACAACTTTTTTAGGATTCAAGGGGCACAACAAGAGCAGTGATGACTTAAGAAATGTGAGAGATAAAAGGATTGCAGGATGGTTACGAAAAGATAACATATTTCTTCACTATGGCATGTCTCCTTCAAGCCAGAAACTTGAGGAAATTACAATAGGGAACTAAAATCTAAATTCTTCAAACTTTACCTTCCCGCCAAAAGTACCTCTAATGTTATTAGATAATGAACCTGCAATTTAAGTTACAAAATTGTTTTCATGCCTAATCATAGTTGCGCGATTCCTTGGACACCCTCTCAAATTGTTGTATCGAGCCAATTTCCAGTACATTTGCGAACCTATTCCCTCTGATACATAATTGGTTCCCTAACATTGCCATACCAGTTATAATTGTGCGGGGTGCAAAGTCCTTTTAAGTGTACATGTGCAAGATAGAATACAATATGCGCAATCTAGTAAAGGGAGGTGCACAATAGAATATAAAAGTCAATGACTTTACTATAACTAAATGTATTCAGATCCTCTCTACTACCAAAAAAGTAGTGAATGGACCACTACTTATTCACAACCATTGATTATCTAGTGGGTGGTTATGATTTTTCTTTAAGTACTGCAAATTAGAAATTAATGTAATACATGGATGTATGGTGAGTGTTTGATTTAGATTGTATTACAATCACCCATTACATAGTTAATGATTGGGATAAAAAGCAATGGTCTCTCCACTGCTTTTTTGAAGTGGAGAGGAGCCAAATGATAACTAAATACCTATGTCAATAAAACGTGAAATGAAACCATAATCCTGACACAAACTATGTGAAAAGAAAAACAAAACAAAAAAATAAACTCTATATTTGTATGAAAAAAATATTGAAATGTATAATTAGCTTTCTAGTTTCTAGTTTTTTACTATACACTTTGGAAGATGGTAAGCGCATCCAAAAAAATTTGCTACATACCATTGATCAAACTTGCGTATCAAAGCAAGCTACTCCCATTGAATCCAAATTTTCGAAGTGAAGGATTACGTATCCGAATTTATACCACAACCCACTATGTACCACATACAACGTAACTATGTCTAATATGTCTTCTAGTTTAAACATTGATAGTAGCTTTGGGTTTGTCACACTGCTCGACCTAATGGCAGATGACTAAGCTAGCACATACACTACTATGACAAGAACTTTGTTAAAGTAATATCTCAAGTCTATGTTTGCTTCTACTTATTAGTTATTTCATTATCTAAAAATGGGTCATTTCGAAAAATATTTAATTGTGGAAAGAAACAAATATTTAAAAGCTAACAATATATTTAATAAACTCATTACCTAACCAAAATATGTTCTCAACTAATCCGTTGCTCACAATCTGGTTCATAGCACTTGGGAGGGGAGTAATAAAATGGACCATCATTAGGTCTAGCAAGTATCGTCAAAAGGAATATGAACCCAAATAGACGGACTTGTGGACAATAATAATCTGCAAGATAAAGCAATACAAAATGAATGAAAGATAGCTCACAATGATGTTGAATAAGCAATAAGATAATGGTGTATAAATAAAGATGTAGTACAGAAGAGAAATAATAGGAATGTAGACCAAAAGATGCATAGAGGAACAATAAGGAAAACTAAGTCCATGTAGTGCAATATAAGGTCTTAACTATGCAGTCTACATAGATCCTAAGAAAACTGTCAACGTTTATATCAAAAATGTATAATACATCATAAGATAAAGATGGTGTAAGGCTCAAGAACAACTCTATCTAAAACATAATATATCAAACTATATTATTGTTGCATTATCAACAACACATCATAGTGCTTACAAATTAAGCTACAAAAAGATTGTACTACAATTGCATCATGACAGAAGCCATTCTAATTTAAGTCTAATTTAAGTCACGGTTATAAATAGCAGTAAATAGCCCCGCAATAATGGCGCTAATAGCGTTGACGGTCCCTTTCCGCGACGCTATCGCCCGCTACGCTATCACGCAATAGCGGTCACATATTGCGAAATATGTCTGTTCGTAAAAGCGGCCAATAGTGTGTCATAACGGTAAATAGTAAGCGATTGTATTTCGAAATTTGCTTTTTGACTGCTATTTAAATGCGGTTTGAGGCTTATTTTTTAAAACTTAAACTCAACCCTTGACCATTGCATTTCACCGTCTTCTATGATTTTCAACATACTCCCGCCACCTCTTATAGCCTCTGACACCTATCTTGATACTTACTCTTTCACAGTGAGCTCCTCTTAGGACAGTCCTGTCACCGCTAAGCTCTTCTTCTCGAAGACGACTTTTTGACTCCTCCAGTCATCTTCGGTATTACGTGATGGTTACATGTCTATTTCATGTTTAGGATCTCTTTAAATCATTCAATATGTACTTTTAGATTTCTTAGATTTTTTTAAATTTTTTTTAGTATTTATACGTATCTAAATTAGACCGCTATTTGACTTTGCGTTTTTTACTGCTATTTTACCGCAATAGCCCGAAATAGCCTTAGCGATGCCTCACCGCTACGCGACGCTATCCGCTATCGATAACCTTGATTTAAGTAGTTACATTCTTATTTGGATAAGAAAAAGCATGTGTCAACTCACTTAAGGTGGAATAAAAACAATAAAAAATAGGAAACTCACTAACGAGACATAGCTTAAATAATGTCTCACCTTATTCTATTACTTATCCCTCATCCTCATTGTTATTTAAATTGTGCGTGTAATGTTATGCACTAGTTTCAATCTTATTGCAGCCGACACACAATGTAGGTAGTACTAGTGAGATCATCATAGATAAGTTATCAGCCACCTAGTCAAATCATACAATAGCACTATGCAAGGCTGGGGTACCTCCGTAGCCTAGGAAACAAATCTCTACATCTATCTACATGTACAATATTTAAAGTTTGGCTCCTAAGAGGGGACCAATAGCTCCAGGAAATACTTGATGACAATGTAATTCAATATGACCAACTGTGATTTTGGCTAAATAGCACCATATTAAATTACAATAAATACCCAATATCCTTAGTCTCATCAGTAGTCCAATGAGGGTTGAATGCATCTCAATTTGTGATAGGGATTCCATATAGGTGATATACTATAATCAGAATTACTAAAGAATAATAGTGCATAATAAACTTATAGTGAATAAGAACTCTCATTAAATACAAGTGTCATGTCTTGATGGATATAAACAATCACTTATGATAAATAATAAAATCAAACAATGGAGGTTGGTAAAAAAAACCATTGTTTTAAATGCCCTGACATGGCCCAGTATATTGCTCAATATATCCTTTTACATGACTTGTCGTAATTGATATGGTCTCTAAATATTCTTTACCGATTTTTAATTATTTTGGACGATATATTCCTAATATGATTGATATATCAGCAAATATATTGACCGATATATCCTTTTATATAGCTTGGTTCTAAACAATATATTGTGTTTGGCAAGCTTCAAGCGAGATATCATGATTTTCCCATTTTATCAAATGATATTTTGGCCTAAAAATAAAATGCAATATTGCAACATTGATTTGCACTTTTGTTTGTATGTTTAGATTTCATTATGTGGAGATTACATTTTAGTGCATTATACTATATATGCAAATATCTGTTATGGCATTCCGACATTTAACATATATCCTCGATATTTCCTCGATATCCTCAATTTGATATGAATTTCGGCCATCCAATTCTTCACGGTAACGATATTTAAAGCCTTAAAACTAACATAGTTGAGCGAATAAGAGGGTTTATGTGAAAAATCACAAAACATACTACATAAGGGTGATGGTGAATAATGAACGCTAAATAGAGTTTAAATTAGGAGTTTATCCTCGCATCAACAAAATATAGCTTAACTGGTGATGGTAGGTTAAATTTATGCGTATCAATCCAAATATGGTTCCAACACATTTTATTTACTCAAACGAAAGCATCTTTAAGTTTTTGGTGTTTAATAACTCAATTCATGCATGAGAATTTAATAACTACACTTTGTTTCAATAAATATATTCTTAGATGCATCAATTTATTTTTGCTGAAAAATTAACAAATAAAATGGCAAAGTGGCTAGTCATATTAGCACTTTAACAGCATAATACCCTCTACTCGTATACATCTCTCTTGTCGGCTTGTCACACATATTAATGTCCTAATGCTACCCAATTCTCGGTGTCATCTCTCTTTTAAGCATGTTTTACATATTATTGCGCCATGATGCCAAATAATCCGAGCTTATTATCGTCTCGATGCCACCTAATTAGTAAGAGCTTCTTGCCGATCAACCTATAGTCAAATGATTTTGCAGATAAATACTCAATATGTTTACATTGCAAAATTGTTACCCAAATGGCTACATTAAAAAGTTTATGCTTCAGTAAGAAAGTTTTATACTTTTATGTTACTTAGGGAATTTTTTAGTTCTTCACAGACAATAAAAGATGCTCCTGCTCGAACACTTTACACTGAAAGAGCAAATAAGGATAC